AGGGTTAGGGTTAGGGTTTAGGTTTAGGGTTAGGGTTAGGGTTAGGGTTAGGGTTAGGGTCAGGGTTAGGGTCATTAATGTGGGCCACCATAACATCAGTAACAGGTCAGTTTGAAACCAAAGACACTAACCTGTCAAAACTCAGTTACATTTTGGGGTCTTTGTTTTTATCCTTGTGGTATAAAAATGGTATCGAGTATTGAGTATTTTCCTGAGTATAGGTATTGAGTTGAACATTTTAGTATCGTGACAACCCTAATCAGAGGTCAGAGAGGGTCTGAGGAGGTTAGAGGAAGACAAAGAAGGTTAGAGGAGGTAAAAAAGACCACATGCAGGTCATAGAAGGTCAAATAAGGTCAGTGAAGGTAAGATGGAGGTCAGTGAAGGTCAGTTGGAGGTCAGTGAAGGTTAGATGGAGGTCAGAGGTCATGTGACCCGGCTGACTGACCGTCTCTTCTTCAGGTGGTGGACGGTGATGAGACCTTCGTCCACGATGGCTCCCACGATCTGGTGCCTCTTCTTCTTCTCCTGCCCCAGAACGCGCCGCCGTTTGAACAGACGCTTCCCCAGATCCTGAAAGCACCCCCACCCCCCAGTCAGAGCCATAACTCAAGGGATGAGCCGGTGTGGAGCCCAAACACCTAGAGACCCCTCACAGACAGGGAGCAAACCAGTCCAATCCCTGGGTCTAAACTCCCATTTTCAGTCCAGTTCTTTATCATCCAGTCAGGAAAAAGGCCCCTAACTCAAGGGATGAGCCAGGAATCAAACCTTCCTACAGACATAAATTACTTCAAACGTGAATAAAGAACCAAAAAAAAAAGCTTTAGTGTTCTTTAGTGACTGTCATCCAGGATTTCTGGACATTTTCTATTTTTTCATTCATATTTGTCCAGTTTTAATGTTTGTTAAGTCAGAAAAAGGCCCCTAACTCAAAGGATGAGCCAGGAATTAAACATTCCTTTAAACATAAATGACTTCAAACTCTTCCAAATGTGAATAAAGAACCAAAAAAAAGGCTTTAAAAACCAGTTAGCTCCCTCAGTTTCAGACAATGAGAGCTAAATATAATATATAATTTATTCTCAGTTCAGCCACTTTTTACATTTATATTTGTCCAGTTTTAATCTTTGTTAAGTCAGGAAAAGGGCCCTAACTCAAGGGATGAGCCGGTGTTGCTGCTCCTGGAGACTCCGTACAGACAGGGAGCAAACCAGTCCGATTTAACTGGTTTTAAACTGGTTAGTTAGATGTTAAAAAATTTTTAAATATCTCCAACGACTTCCTCTTAGACAATTTAAAACAAACCAAAAAGATTTTCTTTGATCTGAGCAAAAATATTCTAGGAGACCCCTTACAGACAGGGAGCAAACCAGTCCAATCTCTGGGTCTGAACTCCCATTTTCAGTCCAGTTCTTTATGATCCAGATAGGAAAACGGCCCCTAACTCAAGGGATGAGCCAGGAATGAAACATTCCTACAGACATAAATGATTTCAAACGTGAATATAGAACAAAAAAAAAGGCTTTAAAAACCAGTTAGCTCCCTCAGTTTCAGACATTGAGAGCTAAATATAACATCTATTCTCTGTTCAGCAACTTAATTCTGAGTAATAACTCAAGGGGTGAGCTTAAAGTGGAGACTCAGGCTCTAGGACACAGAAACATCATTTGTTCCATTTCTGGAGCTGATGGATGAAAAAGGCCACAGAAAACCCAGCAGACAGACAGGAAACAGGGCATGGTTCTGGTTCTGATCCAGTCCCAGTTCTGATCTACTCCTGATCAGGGTCTGGTCCTGATCTGCTCCTGGTTCTGATCAGGACCAGATCAGAACCAGATCAGGACCATACTAATCAGGACTAGACCCGGATCAGGACCAGGGCCTGATTAGAACCAGGACCAGACTCTAATCAGGACCAGGTCAGGAACAGAACCAGATCAGAACCAGACCCTGATTAGGACCAGACCCTGATCTGGTCCTGGCTCGGATCTGGTCCTGATTAGTCTGGTCCTGATCCGGGTCTGGTCTTGGTCGTGATTAGTCTGGTCCTGGTCCTGGTTCTGATCAGGACCAGACACTAATTAGGACCAGACCCTGATCTGGTCCCGGCTCGGATCAGGTCCTGGATCTGATCTGGTCCTGGTCCTGATTAGACTAGTCCTGGTCCTGATCCGGGTCTGGTTCGTGTCTCTGGTTTTCCTCCTCCCAGACTACAGAACCGGGTCTTTCTTACCGTTTTGGGTCTGTTTATTTTCCCTCCTGGAGGCGACATGCTGCCTCTCGCGTGGACCGGAAGCAGCTTCTTCTTCTCCTTTTTCTTCCATCCGTGGGCTTCCGGTAGCCCCACAGCGCCCCCTGTGGCGGCAGAGGAGCCCCCAAATAAACCGGTTTAGATTGTATATTTACCAAATATATTCTATATATTCTATATCCATATTTGATATATTATATTCACCATATTTTATATTTTCCACACGTTTGTTTCCATGAATTTAAGCGGGTTCAGCCTAAACGGTTTCCGTTTGAACGGATTTATTCTTCTTCGCTTTAAAAATCGCGCAGGTACATATTCTATATCCGTATTTTATATTTTATTTAAATGTTTTACATTGACCATATTTTATATTTTCCAAACGTTTGTTTCCGTGAATTTAAACTGGTTCAGCCTAAACGGCTTCCGTTTGAACGGATTTCTTCTTCTTCGCTTTAAACAGTGTAGGTCTTCTTCGCCCGGTGGCGGCCAGTCTGAGCATCAAACCGAAAAACGACTCCAACCGGTTTAAATCACCACTTCACCCCGATTTAGGCCTCTAACGAGTCAAGTCAACAAAGTCTGACTCTCTCTGTGTTTTCCCGCTTAAATGTTTGAATTATTTCAGCTGAAAAACAAACATTAAACACTTTTAATGCTTTTTTTTTGTCCAAATCAGTCGTGGGGATGAGCTTAAATATGAGTTTTAGTGGATAATCAAAATGTGCTTTAAGGAAAATGACACAGACGGATATTTAAACATGTTTTTATTTAGTTTAATGTGCTAATAGACTTCAGTTTTTATTAAACGATGTCCTAACCCTAACCCTCTACCCTTTCCCTAAACCTAACCCTGAACCTAACTTTATCCAAACTTTAACCCCTAACCCTAATCCTGACTCTAACCCTAACTCTGACCCTAAACTTAACCCTAACCCTGACCCTAACCCTCCAGACTTCATAATTGTGAGAAATAAATATTTTTTGGTTAAACTTGTTTGGACTTATTGTACAAACCTATTTAACATCCACTATTTTAACATAATATCATGGATAGAGTTTAATTCAGTGTTTGCATGATTCACTTCACTATTTTTAAATGAATGTCTATATTGCCATGAAGCTACTACCATCTTCCTATTGGTGACCCAATCAAAATGGCCGCCCCGGATGTGGGCGGAGTCAGTAATAAGAATTAGAGTCGGGAGGCGG